ACCTCAACCATTCCCTGATTCCATGATGATCCCTCCAAACCCCCGGGCGGTCCCTGCGGTGCCGGTGCCCTCCCCTCGGCCCTTCCCGGCCCGGCCGCCCGTGACTCAGTGCAGGGCAGCGTCGAGCTGGGCCTGTCCCTGCTCCGCGGGGCTGGTGCCCGACGCGGCCCATTAGTCACCGGGCCCAGCCCCGGCTCCCGCCCGCGGCGCCGGCGGCGCTCCCCCCCCGCCGGGACTTTCCTCCCGCCCTGGATCCAGCGGCGAGGCCGGATCCTCCGGGCGCCGCGAGCTGAGAGCGGGGCCGGAGCCTCGAGGAAAACCCCGAGCAGAAGGAAGTGCCCGAGAGCCGGTCCCTGCCCAAGGACACGAGCGGCTCCCTTGGAGCTGCTCCTCCTCCTCCTCCTCCTGGGCGCCATGGGACGCTCCGACGGGTTTCGTTCCCCGCTGCAATTCCTCAGTGTTCCCAAAGCCCCTTCCCAACCCGCGTGGGAAAACTCGTGCCGAGAGGCTCATCCCGGGGAAGCGGCAGCCGCGGAGAGGCCTGTGCGGGCGGATGGAGGCCACGGGAGCAAAGGGCAGAGGCCGATGGGCAGATAAAGGAGAAAGCGGGAGGGGAGCCAGGCCCCGGAACGTGCCTTGGAGCAGCCCTCTGGCAAGGGAGGACTCGACCGTCCTTTGACATCCCTGGAATGCGCTCGGGGAGAAAGCGCCGCGGCCGCCAGCGCCGGCCCGGAGGAGCCTTCCCTGGGCCGCAGCACCCGGGGAAACCGGAGCCGGGCGGCGCAAACACGGCCGGCCAAGGAACGCGCCGGCAAAGCCGGGATGGCGCCGCTGCCAACGGAGCCGGCCCCTTTCCCCGACTTGGAGCAGGTCCCAAATCCTGGCGGGCCTGGAGGGGCCAAGGGCGAGGGACAGGGCAGGAAAAGCGGCGGTTCCTGCGGAGCAGCTCGCGGCGCCGGGGGTCGATCCGGCCGCCCGGCAGGAGGTCGGTTTGGATCCCGGCCGCTTTATCCGGCCACTTCCCCCGTTCAGAGCGGGAATCCCCTCGGAGCGCGCGGAGAAGAGGGCGCAGAGGGCCCAGCCGGGCGCGGGCCAGAGCGGCTGGCACAAACAAGCCGGGTCCGAGGACAGCGGGACAACAGCTGGCAAAAACACCCGGGAACAACCCCTGGCACAAACACCCGGGAACAACACCCGGGAAAAACAACTCCCGGGGAAACACAGCGCTCGTCCTCGGGCCGGGGGAAGGTCGGGCTGCGGAGCCTCCCCCCGGGCCCGTTTCCGTCCCTGCCGTTTTATTGTTCGCTCCGTGGAAACGTCGCCCTCGCGTTTCCTCCGCTCCCCGCCTGTTTTCCGGAGCCGCGAGAGCCCCAATGGCCCGTGAAAGCCACAGGGCCGAGCGGGTGGGGAGGAGCGGGAGCCCCACGGGAAAACGGAGGGTCCCCCCGTTGTTCCCGATCCAGCGGCACCCGCTCCCCAAATCCCTGCCGGGTGGGCGGGGGGGCCCCAGGGGCTCCCAATATCCCGAGCAGGAGCGGGGGGCACCAGGAAGCTCCGAGATGTCCCCATTTGGGCGGGTGACGACC